ACTGCGAAGTGGAGCGTCTGCGTCATAGTCTTAATGCTGTCTTCCCTGCGATCCAATTAACTCGCAAAGAAGCAATAGAAGACCTTCTTCCGTTCCTGGACGTCAGAGTGTAAATATTGAGTGATGGCAATCTCGAAACTAATGTCCATAGGTTATAATCCTGAATTATAGGAGCAACGATCATGCGGACCACAAAAGAAGCTGCGCTCGGAAAATTTTCACTTTGCTTTTCGCTACTGAAGCAGCGAGCATCTACTTAAAAGAGAATTTGCCTACTTATACCAATTATTCCGATCGAACGGAATCAGACGAGTTTCGTGAATAAACTGTCTTCGATGTCGGAGACAACCATAAGATCGGCGCTCTAGCGCAGAAGTGGTACAACGGACATTCTATTCCTTACCTTACATGCAAGGACATTCTAGAGTGATCGCCCGACAATTAAATCGGCCCGGCATCCGCATCGCTCAGAAGCCGGCGTCCTATCTGAGGGAACCTCTCTCTCTCGCGTTAAAGACCACATACCGAAAGAGCGCCAAACCAAGGTAATTTGCCGCATTCCGTGTGCTGATGCCCTCGTTTCTACATAGGTCATACAGGTCGAAAACTCGAGACGCGCACAATTGAACATAAGCCGGCTATCCAAAGACATGACTCACCGTTTCTCGAGTTGGTGAACGATATTGATAATGATCGCTGCTTTAATTGGGACGGAATTGAAGTGGTCGCCACGGCTAATACAAAACAGGCAAGATAATTTCTCGAACTTTGTCATTCCGGCACAAACAGCACAAACAGGCACTTGGATCTTGATTCAAATTACGTCGGTTTGCGCGCATTGTCCACTAACTTGCGCCTAGCCCGAAACAACAACAGCCTATCCGTGCTCAGCCAAGTCGAACCTCACTGATTCTGCATCTCCCGGGCACGTGGCCCACAATCTAAACGTTCACACCCCCGTCTCACTTACAGCGTCTATCGCAGCAGGATTCTTTTCATTCTTACCCCTCCTGCACTCTCACCCCTTTTCGATGTAACCTCTGCCTCCAAACCCTCTAGTGCGACAATCCCAGCCGCCACTTTTCATTCAGTCTGGCGAAGAGCTAGTGTCACCAGCTCGAAAATGCACGAGTAAGACTCCATTTTACGACGAACCTTCTTGCTTCATCTATATACAGTATGCGCCGAAAATCACGCAACTTGCCGACATATGCGAAAGGTTGATACTCTTTCGTTCATCAGCATTGACTCAGGTTGTGATACGTATTATCGTGTAGTCTATTCTAAAGTCATTGCAGTCATGCTAGGATGCGGGCTTTTTAACGACCTTCTTTCTGACCACTAGCGAAACGTATCTATTTTAAAAACTGGCTACTTACGTAGTATGCATTTTTATCATCTATTTTGACGGCCTTTATAAATTCAAATATATTTTATGCAAAATATGCACAAAAAATTTTTCTTGTACTTGTTTGATAGAAAATAACATCTTCTTTTTATACTCAAAGAAAGGGTATCTTTCGGTTTTAAAAAATTTTCTCAATTGCCAAAGAATTTTCTAACCTACTGACTGCTACAATCGAATTCAAGGTTTAGAAACTGCGCACTGTGTACATCCTGTTTAAGAAAAAGTACGTTTTCGCCTACAGTTTGAGGAAGAAGTCACATAGTTGTCATAAAATATTGCAATAGATGTGGAACATGTTTTATGCAGTACAGGCGGCATTAATAAATTGACGGATACGAGGTATTATGAATAAACACCTCAATTGTAAAAAAGCTCACAATTAGCAATTTTTCTGAAACCGAAAGATACCCTTTCTTTAAGTATAAATTTAAAAAAGGTGTACTTTGCTATCGAACAAGTACGAGAAAAATTTGAAGAAGGCGTAGTTTGCTACCAAACGAGTACAAGGAATAATTTTCCATTTAAAGTAGGCGTAATTTTTTATCAAACAAGTACATGAAATAATTATTTTGTGCATGTTTTCCATAAAATATATTTGAATTTATAAAGGCAGTCAAAATCAATGTTAAAAAGGTATACTATTTAAGAAGCCAGTTTTTACAATAGATACGTTTTGCTAGTTGTCAGAACGAACACCATCAAAAAACCCGCATTCTATTATGACTGAAATGACTTCAGAATAGACTAAACGATAATTCACATCGCAACCTTAGTCAATGCCGATTAGCGAAAGAGCATCAAGCTTTTGCATATGTCGGCATGTTGCGTGATTTTCGGCGACTACTTTATAAACGCATGTATGCAGTTACAGTCGATAATAATATTCTGTATATAAACGGGCCGTAGACCCAGAGCTGAACGTTTATTGGAAGCTCCTTCTATATCTGTGCTAGTTGCTTTTGATATGCGCAATAAGGTTTTTTGTTGGGATGAAAAACCGTGCTATTTCCAGTAATACAATCGTGTTGGAGATCGCAGGCAGAGATATTGTTTGTATTCCAAAAAGTTAAATTAAGGTCGCAAGCCTTATTGAATTCTAACACCATTGACCTGTAAAATAATGCTGTCTATTGTGCGTTGTATAATGTCGTTGTAGCAGATGGCGTACTCTACATGTCGATAAACTGCTTGCGTCCTTTTAAGTCGCCAAACCGGTCGCTCACTGATTTTAATTTGGAAGAAACTTTGTAAAGGTTGCACCGGCGCAGTTTAAACTCTTCGGGTGCTCTTTTTAAACATAACCGCTGAGGTAAATTTCAAAGTAAACAATTCCAAATGGGGTCATCTGGTGAACATAACTCTTAGCAAGTAGAAGTACTTTCTAATCAGTTTTCTACTGAAGAACAATTAGGGCATGACCTTTGCATGTGATATACGGACTTTTTAACAGTTTACTAACTAGGGTCAAGGTTAACCTTGGCAAAGATTCCATGTGAATGGCCTAAGCGGGCGTCTAATTACCTTTTCTGTGTTCGTGGGCTGTAATCACCATCTTATGTACTTGTCCACCATTTTCGCACCACATGCGTATTTTTGGTAGTTTACTGTAATTGATTATTCAATACTGAGTGACGTTACTAATTTTGAAATAACTCACCAAAGATACGCGCAACAGACCTTCTGCTGCTTATTTACGTACGTGTCCATCGTCGACTCCAGACAAAAAATGCCTCGACTTTTCATTTTGATTCTTAACAAAGAACGTGACAACACGTCGCCTGTTTCTGCATACATTAGTTTACGCATTTTAACTCTAAATGCAGTTAAGCAACGTACTGTCAACCAAGTTTATGACCTCGATTCACGACTAAAGGCCATAAATTTTCGAATTAGAATTTGCAATATGCTGCTTACTGCACATCCCATATGAGTATGTTGTTTCCGGGAATTTACAGTCTTCTCTGATTGGACAGGAAACAAATTTTGCGTGTTATTCCCCACAGATGTATACCCAGTGTCCAGTGTGTACATGGCCACATGAAATAGACGATCTCCACTCATAACTGCTAAGTTATGTTCGTCTTTACGGGTTTGGATGGATTTTCCAGTTTAACTCCAATAAAAATAGCCGCAACTGGTCAATAGGATTTGTAGACAGCACTTTTTGATCGAAATAATCAACCCTATCCTTACTGTATACAACCTGCGTGCTCAAATTAGTTGTGGATTAATGCACTACTTGTGTTTGGTGTTTTCTCCAGTTGTCTTTTGACAAGTTCATATATTTATTACGCATGGGAGAGTTGGTGCCTGGGTGTCTGTTTGAAATCGTACTGCTTCATACACTGACGCACAAAATTATGCTGCCACCCACTTCCTTTTTGCTTGTTACTTTTTATCCTCGTAGATGTGGTTTCTGGCTCGAATTCGCAGACTGGAGACAAAACGCTTTTGTGAAATTGCGTGGTTACTCCCAAGGTTTAGGATGATCTCTTAATGTCTCTTTTTGATAACCTGATGCGCAAAGTGATACAGCCTTTATTTGATGTACAAAAACATCCAGAACTAAGAATTATTTCTAAACCTCTCTTTTAAATGTAAATTCATTTCTTGGAACTATATATTCAAGTTTCGTATGGAGTGGATCTAAATGCACTTCTTTTGCCGATATATTTGTCATCTACATAGCCAGTATAGATTTGGGTTTATTGAAGTGGGAGCTATAGATTCTGATTTCCCAAATAGGGTTTTAGCCTGTAAGTTGGATATGGGCGAACCCATAGGAGTTTTTCAAGTGTTAATAGTATTGCAGTTAAGCGTCGACAGAGACATCAGTTGTGTATGTCTGAAGTAGTTCTTTGGCGCAACGTCTCGCTAAATACAGGAGAATCTAAGTGAACATTGAGGCCATATCAAATCAAGTAATTATTTTTTTAGTTGCAACATTCAATCCATATAATTTGTCTGAAATTTAATTTCAATCTTCAGGGTAGTACTCAGAGTTCTTTCTAAGTTAGTTAAGTTGATGAAATATGCATTTATATCGCGTGCGGTGACTATCGATTTCAGTGGAATACAATTTATTACTTTTCGAGGACCATACATTCTGACAAATTTTGATTTATCGTGTTTTAAAGATTCAGCAAGAGCTCCCGAGAGTTATTCCTTTCCCTCAAGCTGTTTCAGTGTTTGTTCTTAACTTAAGAGTTTTGCAATTTATGAGATCGGCAGACACAAGTTCAATCCTAGTTTGAAAATAAGTTTACCTTCTCACTTCAAGGTCTTCATGGTGCCGCTGCGAATTCTGAAATGCTAATCTTTTCTGATGGGTTTGAAGTTGGCAAGGAAGGTTAGGTACTTGAGGTCAGACGGATTTTAATTTTTTTCTTTGCACAACACGTTTTCGTCCGTTGCCGCTTAAGTATGTTAAATTATTGCAAATTTTACAAAACACTATCATCAGCCGTTCTAGTTCTGACACTGATGGTCTCGTGTAAAGATGTAAATAATTTAGAAAGGAGCCGGTTATGGCAGAAATGCATGTCGCTTTCTGACTGTTCTTTGAATTTACGAATATGATAATAGGCATCTGTTGTGAATGCTCCAAGTGTTTGATGGCCATCATGGATAGCGGCTCGAACGCCCTGCAGTTTTCATCTCCATAGACTTGAATGGAATCCTGTTTTATCGGCATTGTTGTGAAGGGGATAATTGTTTTGCGTCAGACATTTGAGGATTGCGCCGTCGAGCATAAAACAAAGCACCACTCGAAGTTCATACGGAGGACTGCAGGTATTCACTTTACTGTGTTGCACAACCTCACAACTCTATCATCTTGTTTATAAGAAGGCTCATATTTATTGTGCAGTGGTTTGTGGAACGAGTCCAGCCATAACTAAACGCGTTTATTTGATGAAAATTTTGTAATATATTGATGTATTTTTATGACTTGCCATGACTCGAAATAATATTCCAACTCCGTTCTTTACTGTACGTTTTAAATCATTTAGACATCCCAATATACCTTCTATTTTGTAATTCATGCTAGTACCCATATTTTTAAGCGTCTTTTTGCCATTGGTACCGTTTTGCACTCCGCTACCAACTAACTCGAGATAGCGGCTCTACTTTTAACTTAGTTTTGAAGAGTGTATGTGACTGCGATTTTTGTCAATTTTCTCAAGGCTACTTTTTGTGTCATCGTGGAATACCGCTTTGTAGGTTAAGAAATCCCATGAAAATTTAATTGTTAGTATGCCCTATGAAAAATTTTTAACAAACACTGAAAATGTCGTCTACTGAGTTCTTGAAGGTACTTCTAATTAAAAGAATAGTAAAACACAGAAGAATCTCCACAAATAATTTACAGGGTTTTGCAAAATGCACGTTTACCGATTATAAACAGTAACATTTTTAACAGTCGTCTTTCTGTGCACATCGCAAATGTCCTCTGGACGATTAAGCTTAAATTTTATCAGTCACGCTCGGCATTACTATTTTAGCCTTTCTTGTAGGTTTTCAATAGTACTGCCTTTATAGAGTACGACACACATCAAATAAGGTTTGTGGTTACAACCAAAGTATACCCAACATGTAGGCCCAATTACGAAAAAAATTTCCTTCGAAGTTCGCCGTTCTTTGTATGTAGCCGGCATAGTGATAGGCTCAACTAATGCTTCAAAAGAAAAAATCACGCAAATATCTCACCGTCTTTACTTCAAACGCGGCATTGTGTGTAAGGATCCCCAGTTTCTTGTGGGTCGTTTTCAAATCCATGCTCTCCGTCCCTTGTTATTTAGGAGCTCCATACGAACGGCTGTACGTCTTTTAGAGCTTTCATGCATTCGGAACTATTTTTGAACCAAAGTTTTGTCAGTTCACTCAGGAAAGTCTAATTGTAATTAAAAACTTTTTGCGGATAGCTCCGAGTAGTGAATTGCCTTTTGCCTGCCCTTAAAAACACATCTTCGATGTCGTTGCAGTCAACTGTCAGTCCGGTCAATTGTATCGCCTACTTTCTCGTGGTAGAATTCTTCGAAATATAATTATTTCTACTGTCATTTTTGCCGTGGAAAATCTTTTGCACTCGTCGATCGTGATCCTGTATGCGAATCCGAACCCTTCGATTAACCGGCGTTATCTCTTAGAGATCGCATTTCTGCTATTGTCCTTTTCCTACTGTATATTTAAAAGACAGCTGAGCATAACCAAAGAGTGCTTACTATGTATGAAAGCAGTTTGAGTAATCAAGTGCCCAACTGTTGGGCACCGGGTTCGATACTTCTGTTTTGTGTTAAATGTTACCTCTCTACTTCAACCTCTTAATCCACGTCCATTTCTCTCCTTCAGCGAGTTCCCATTGTTACCGGTGATGAGGATGAGACCGAATTATCAACGGAGGAGATAGAGAAAAGAAAGGACTTTGAGCGCCGACGTAAGGAATTAACCAACACAAGTGGTCTGGATATCAAGGCGGTACTCGGTCATAGACTTTCCCTCGCTCCAGAAGAGGAAGACGACGACGAAGAGGACGAAACGGTACAGAGTCAGTCGGCTTCGTTTAAAGACGCCAGTCCAACTGCGAGTACACAAGCCGATCAGCAGACCACTGTATCTCCTGCCGGTGAGGCCGTCTTCAGTGATACTACTTATGCAGAACCCTCTCGAGTTACTGGGGAGGAGACTGTGAGCGCTAGTTTTAAGGTGCCTACAAAAATTCGAGTGACCGCGCCATCCCAGGAAGAAGCGGCAGCGCCGTAATCACAACCGCTCTCAAAAATTGAAAAAATAATTCTTTCATATTGTCAACCTTTCTGAACATCATCCTTACCTCCATCATCATCCTGATCATTAATCGTTATGAAACCGTTGTTTTTTCCATATAAACTGCTGACATCTTATTAAGCGAATTTTCCTGGACGTGATTCCTTGCCTCGATTTCTTACATTTCGCAGTTAAATCTTTTTTTTATCTTGTACTGTCATCGTTTCTGTCCTTTTAGTTTCATACTTACTGGGTGTCTTGAAGGAGTGTTTACATAATAGCCAAACCTTGCGCCTGTTGAGCAACTACATAAATTTGAGCGATGGAATCTCAATTACTTTAAAACCCAAAGCGGATAAAACCAGCACCCTGTTGTTGGTTACTGTAATCGGCTCCGATTTTTCAAACAAGGCATTCATAGGCACATGTCTGCTTCTCACATCTTCGTTGTACACTTCTTGACTCCGGACTACCTCCTGTATATTCAATTAACCCCAACGATGCTCATGAAAGAAGAGATGTTCGCAGAAATACGCACTCCTATATGCGTTTTTACTGTGCATATTTTCATTCCACTGGATAAAATTGAAATAAATTTTTGGAGCAGCTGGTTGAAGATAAACCTTTGAAATTATTGTAGGTCACTCCCATAATGTTCAGGGTTACCTACCGGTGCTTTATACTTTTAGTAACAGTGAAAGATATAAGGTTAATGCTTCAGTTATAATAGGTGGCAGTTGGCACGCAACACGCAGCTTTGATTTCATGGGCCTGATTTACTTTGACACTAATACAATGGCATTTGGCTTTTTTGCTGTCCAATATTTGATAGGTTCTGTCACACAGTATGCAACGAAAATGCTGAAATATTAACTAAAATTTGCGAATATAACTTCAGCTATAAAACATTTCAACCCAAGATGCAGTTATGATTAGTGTTATACATAATGCGGAGCTAATGCATGTACATTAGCATTATGTCTTCATGATGAGCATTTTCACAGTCATCTATGCGTCCCACTCAGGTAATGAGAGATAGGTTAGCGTGTTATGTGCGGCCGTATTATTCGCCAACCAAAGCCTAACTCTTTCTGTTGCGTTCGTCTGGTTTAACATTCGTTGCCCTGTTGGTAGTGTTAGGAGGAGCTAACAGGCAGGTAGCATGCAAGAGCGAGCCGCACTATAGGCAGGCTATCGATCGGCCTA